CCGCCATAATCGGCTGTGGCGGGCCCAGCGTAGCCGACGTCGTCGGTGGCCGCGGCGCGCGCGGCGGCCAGCATCATTTCCACCATCGCCGCGGCGGGCAGCAGCGGCCGGCCCGACACCACGTGATCCCATAGGTAAGCCAGCCTCGGGTTCGGCGCGAAGTTGCCGCCGCCGCCGCCAGCCCCGCTCCCCAAAGGGCCACCAGCGTGGCGGCGGAAGCCGAAGTCGCCCAGGCGGCACGAAAGGGTGAGGGAGCCGGCGCCGGCCGCGGAGGGCAGCAGGGCGGAGTGGAAGGGGTGCACGTGCGGCACCACGAAGAGGCGCTGCTCTAAAAGCAGCGGGCGTCGGCGCGCGGCGAGCGCCTCGGGCGTGGGAGGGGCCGCTTGGCCCGCGCCGCGGGGCGGCGCCGCCGCCAACAGGATGTGTGCGTTGGTGCCCTGCGCCGCAGGGGGCGGCCGTGGCGGGTGGTCGGCTGAGGAGGACACATGGGTCAGGCGCAGATGATTGCGCGGCAACAACAACATGTGCTGCCCGCTCATGATGAGAAGTTGCGCCACCAGCTGAGGGGATAGAGAGTGCAACGACTCCTGGACACGCGCCGCTACACTCACCACGCAACCCTCATCCCATGGGTGCACACACACGTACGCACGCACGCGCGCGCACACACACACACACACACACACACACACACACACACACACACACACACACACACACCCACACACCCACCCACACACACACACACAAGCAGACAAGCCCGCACCATGAACGCAAACGAGCTGACGCCGCCGATCATGCTCCTCTCATCCCTCGAAGCCAGCGCCCATGGCAGCTTCTGGCGCGGAAGCTGCGCAGCCGTGCCTGAGCTGAGTGCGCCGTCCAGGTAGGGGTTCAGAGTGCGCAGGTGCAGGATGGGCGACGCAGCGCGGCGCGCAATCTGCGCAGTCGTTTTGATGGAGAAGGCGGGGCGGGGCGGGGTGGCGGATTGTGAACGCACCGGTGGGGCGGAGGCGAGACTGCAGGGGTGGGGGCCCACTTGTAGCAGCACCGGTTTAGAGGAAAAGGGTGTGGCAGAGTCTCCTAGCTCGCCAGAAGGTTGTCCTTGCAGAGACACTTTGACATGCATCGCGCACCACAAGAAAAACAGCCATGCATTATCTACACCCATAAACCCACCAAGTGCGAGTGCAGCCGTGCAAAGTCCCAATCCCAAGCAGCCCACCTGCGACCTCAGACGAAGAAGCCCGACCATCCCGGCCGCCGGCTCCGCGTGACCCAGCTGCGACTTGGCGCCGCTCATCAGCAGGGGCTGGCGGGACTGCTGCCTTGCACTACCGCCGCCGGCGCCGCCTGCCAGCAGCACCGCAGCGGCCGCCCCGACCTCAATGGGGTCCCCCAGGGGCGTCCCAGTCCCATGCAGCTCGAGCAGCGAAACCTCGGACGCGGCCACGCCGGCCGAGGTTAGCGCCTGGCGGATCACCTCCTGCTGCGCCGGCCCGTTGGGCGCCGTGAGGCCGCTGCTCCGGCCGTCCTGGTTGACGGCGCTGCCGGCCAGCACGGCCAGCGGCGCGGCCGAGGCGGCGGCGGCAGTGGCTGCGGAGACGAGGATCATCATGCCGGCAGCTTCGGCGCGCACGTAGCCGTCTGCTGCTGCGTCGAGCGCCTTGCAGCGGCCGTCGGGCGCCAGCATGCCTGGGAGCGGCGTGAGAGCAGCCGAGTGCCACGTCAATGCTCAGCAGCCAGAGCAGCCGGTCAAGCAGACGGACGATTGGCAAGATATGACATCTGCACTGTGCCGCAAACCATTTGGTGTTTGGCTCTGCATTGGCACACACACTTGAATCCTGCTATCGCACTCAGCAGGCGTGTTCCTGGGATCTTGCCCGCTCACCAGCGCGGTTGCAGGCGAGAGTCCAGCTGGGCGCAAGCGTGAGGTTCACACCCCCAGCCGCCGCCATCCCACAGCCCCCACCGCCGCCGCCGCCGCCCCTGCCGCGGGCCCCCAGCGCGCCCGCCGCCAGGTGCGCAGCTACCAGGCCGCTGCTGCAGGCGGTGTCGACGGCGACGGCCGCGCCGCGCAGGCCAAAGGTGTAGGACAGGCGGCCCGCGGCGACGGAGAGGTGGGCTCCTGTGGCGTAGTACGCACTGATCGGTGTGCGCTGCTTGAGGGTTATGGCTGCATACTCCAGCTGGCTGAGGCCGACATACACAGCTGCATCCCTGTTGTGTGTGTGTTGGGTTTGAGTAAATGAATGTGGGGGGACGATGTGAGGTTGCAAGAGTGATACGTGTTGATGTTGTGAGTGCATCAGGGCTGGACAAGTCAGGCGTAGGATTTGAACGCATCAAAACTGTCGCTGCAGGGTTAGGGAGGAGAGCGCAAGTGTCGCGTGTGGCACTGCTCTTCCTGCGGCACAAGGCGACGCAGACAGCTGCGTAGCGCCCGCCGTGAGCGCATACGCAAGCGCGCGGTTCCATTCTGGCCTTTCTCAGCGCGTGAGCGCACGCGCGTACACACATACACACACACACGCACACACGCACGCACACACACACACACACACACACACACACACACACACACACACACACACACACACACACACACACACACACACCTGCTCACAGACCCCACAAACGTCGCGCCGCCGAGCGCCTCCTGGAGCGCGTCCAGCAGCAGCCGCTGCTGCGGGTCCACCACCAGTGCCTCCGCGGCCGTCAGCCCCATCGCGCGCGCGTCAAACCACTCCACGTCTCGAGGGGCCAGGAACACGCCGAAGCGGGCGTGTGACTCGGCCGGGGAGGCGGCGTCAGGCACAGGGGCGTCGGCGTCCCAGCGGCGGAGGGGCACAACGGAGGTGCGGTCGAGGCGGCCTGGTATGGGTTTGTAAGAGGAGAGCGGGTGGGCGTTCAGTTCGAGGCATTTTGAGCATCCGTTGGGCTTTGAGGCACGGGCACACCACTGGCGGCGAAGGGGGAAGGGCTGGTCCAGGGTCTCCAAGAGCGGGCATGCGGTGCGGATCGCGGGCTCGATCCGCAAAGCCCCCGGCGGCCGAACACTCACCTTCTGCTGGGTCGTCCAGGCTCCCGCCTGCCACCCTATACGCCGCCGACGCCACAAGGACCAACCCCGCCTGTGGCGCCTCCGGTGCAGCCGAGGGCGCCAGAAAAGCCGCCCGCGTTGTTGCCGCGGCCACCCCGGTGGCGCTGCCGCCGGCCCCGGTGGCAGCTGAGCGGTCAGGGTTGGTTGCCACGTGGGCCGCCAGGGCCGCCGGGTGTGCTTCAGCGATGAACTCTCCGATGCCCCTCGCGGTCGGGTAGTCAAAGACCTTTGGGTTAGGGAGTAAGGTAGGGTACAGGAAGGGAAATTTTGAGGGTGATTAGGGTGTGGGGTTGGCCATGGGGTTGAGGCGGACTCCAGACAAATGGCTATGTATGAGCGCGAAATGTGATAGATGTGCACATGCAGAGAGCATGCTTGTGACAGCACGTTTTCTGTGCCAATTTTGTCATCCTGCACGTGCACTGCTGTGCCAAAAGGGCGGCGATCGCATCCGTTCGGCCAGCAACGAGCATGACAGCAATCCCACCAGCGTCGGCGGCAGCGCCACCCCCAGCCGCTCCTCCAGGCGCCCCGTCAGCGCCACGGCCAGGGTGCTGTTCACGCCCGCCCCCATCAGCGGCTCGTCGGCGCCCAGGGGCGGCGCGCCGGCCCCCAGCAGCGCCGCCACGGCCGCTCGGACGAGCGATTCTGCCTCAGCCGCAGCCGCGGGCGCCGCCGGCGCCCTGGTCGCCTCTGGGGCGCCGCCGCCAACTCCACGTGCGACTCTGGCAACATTTGCGAGGTTGCCTGCCGCGTGGGCCGCCAGGGCTGAGGGGTGTGCTGCTGCGATGAACTCTCCGATGTCCCTCGCAGTCGGGTAGTCAAAGACCTGAGGGCAGGAACGGCAGGAGGTCGAGGGGATGCACGACGCTGGGGCTGAGATGAGGGGGCCATGGAAGCAAGGTGACAAGAGAGGCATGTGGGCTCGAAAGCATCTCTGATGATGCATCCAGGAAATAACTTGCTGCCCCTCAAAAAGGCAAGGCAGGGTTCCGAAGACAAGCAGGCATGTGCTGACAGTATGAGCTGCGCGAAATCCTCACCAGCGTTGGCGGCAGCGCCACCCCCAGCCGCTCCTCCAGGCGCCCCGTCAGCGCCACCGCCAGGGTGCTGTTCACGCCCGCCCCCATCAGCGGCTCGTCGGCGCCCAGGGGCGGCGCGCTGGCCCCGAGAAGCGCCGCAACCTCGGATGCCACGAGCTGCTCAAGGGCCGCGGGCGCTGCCGCCCCTGCTGACCCGATGGCCCCGTCGCCGGCGCCGGCTCCTGTGGTGAGCGCGGGGGCTGCCGGGGACGGGAGGAGGGGCGTGGGTGCAGGGAGGATGGCAGGGTATGCTGCCGCGATGAACTCTCCAATGTTCCTCGCAGTCGGGTAGTCAAAGACCTTCAGGGTTGTGGGTATGGGGTGAGCAGATTTGTAGGTCGGTACAATGCATGTGGCAGGTCACATCCAAACAGGCACAGAGGTCAAGCCCAATCCCCATGCACATCGCGCACAGTGCCCTGAGACTGGCAGGCAAAGCAAGCGCGACACATAATTCACCGGATTTGGCAACGCCCAACGGCAGCCCCAAACCCGCCTGCTCACCAGCGTCGGCGGCAGCGCCACCCCGAGCCGCTCCTCCAGGCGCCCCGTCAGCGCCACGGCCAGGGTGCTGTTCACGCCCGCCCCCATCAGCGGCTCGTCAACGCCCAGGGGCGGCGCGCCGGCCCCCAGCAGCGCCGCAACCTCGGATGCGACGAGCTGCTCAAGGGCGGCGCCCGAACGGGCCACAGGAGCGCTGACATCAGCAGCTGCAGTGTCAGCACGCCCCAGGGCTGAGGTCACATGACCCGCGGCCGCTGCCGCCGCGCCCTGCGCCGGCGGCGGCGGGGCCGCGGCAGGCAGTAGCGCAGCGGCGAAGTGGCCCGCGCCGGGGGGACGCGCGGCGTAGAGGGCCCGCAGCAGCGAGCGCGGGCTGCTGCGCGCTGCGGGGGCGTCGACGACCGCGACCACGGCGGTGGCGCCGCGGAACGGCGCGGCTGCCTTGGTCAAGGCGGCAGCGAGCGCTTGGGAGGGGGCGGTGGTGGCCAGCAGCACGAGATGGAGCGCGCCCGCGTGCAAAGCAGCGGTGACCTGGGGAGTTAGCAAGGGCAAGAGTTGAAAAGGGGATGGCAGATTCAGAATGCAATGGTGGGACCCGTGGGGCGGGTAAGGGGAGGAGGACAAGCGCCACAAGCACTTGCCACCTCCGCCGAAACCCTGACGACTGCCCAGCAAAGCAGCTCGTTGTGCAAGGCTGGGGGTTGTAACGGAGTAAGGGTGTAGCTAGCAGGGGGCCTGCATCCCAGCACCCACCTGGCCAGCAGCATCAGCCCCTCCGCCCAGCGGCAGCACGTAGCAGGCGCCGCCCTCCAAGCCGCGGCGCCAGGCCTTCGGCGCCAGCACAGGCACGCCCCGGCCCAGCGCCGCGGCCGCCAGGCGCGCCAGCTCAGCGGGCGCGGCTCCGCC